GATACAACCCCTGAACGAAACAAAATCCTTCGAACAATTAATAGACCCTACTTTCTCTGAACCATTAAGCACTAAATGGCTCAGTTTTATCAAAAATCCCCTAAACTAAGACAGGTATGGTAATAAAGACTTGAAAAAGTATACAACAAATTACAAGTTGGAATATGGGAGTAGTATGAATTATGATAGATCCTAGAAGTAGATTCACAATCCCAAAACTAAAAGCAACAACTAGTCTATAATCTATATATACAACACCAAAATCTCCGAATAATCTAAAAAAAAAAAAAAAAAGGTTTTACTTTTAAGATCTCCTAAGCAGCAGTAGGCATGGAAGTGGAAAGAATGACATAAGCCAGAAAATGTAAGCCATCCTGGATTTTAGCCACAGCTGTGGTCCGATTCACACGAAGATCTTCAGAAAATGACTTCACTTTTTCTTCAATTACTTTCTCTGGTAAAACTTCTGTAGCAGATTTTATGGCTGCTGCATAAGCTTCTGCTACATCCGATATGCCTGTAATGTTTGTTCATTACAAGGGTAAAATGGTCATTTAGTCTGTTAATTCCAATACTCAATGATTTACTACACATACCTGTCACAAAACTGATGGCAACTGCCTCCACAAATCCAGTCATTGATTGTGTCTTTGTTCTAATTGTTTTAGCTTTTTCAATACAATCCTCTGGCCAATCGATTTTTGCCACATCATCATCATCATCCTTATTTGCATTCTTCACAACTGATTTCCCAAGAGCTACAAGTTGAGAAACCGCAATGCAACACATCTCTGAAAGCCTCTGCATACACATAATATTATTATTATTTACTTTGATTGTTGCCTGATATTCAAAAAAAAATAATAATAAAGAGATAATTTATTTATTTACATGAATGCCCTCAGAGTGAAGAGAATCTAGCCTCCCACCAGTTCTTAGAGCAATATCACTTGAGGAAAGTCCAGCTAACGCATTAGCAAATCTGCAAAATATAACAGTGATTAAATTAATATTGTATAAAGATTAGTTTTGGATTGAATTTGGGTAATGTTAAAACTTAAAAAGACGAGATTACCCTGTAGCCATTTCTGCAGCCTTGCTGACACTCGAACCATGAAAACTCTTGATCTCATCATAACTTCCATCAGATGAATTCTCAACATTCTTTCCCTTTTCAGATTCTGCATTCTTTCCATCACTTTCAGTGTCTAAACTTAGAAGCTGTTGAACCTCTTTAAGCTTCACATCATATGCAGATTTTTCATCAGTTGACAGCTTTGCTTTTCTTCGATTAAATAAAAGGGCATAATGGTTTGACAATGCCTCAAGTTCCTGGAACTCAACATTATAAGAAACTTTGATATGCTAAAATGAATTTGATAATAAAAAAAAAGATGAAAGAATTACTACCTCCAGATGCTCTGGACCTCCATAGATGTAAAAGCATCTGTCAAATGTTACTTCCTCCAATAACTGATCCTCTTCAGTTCCATGCCCACCTTCACCACCATTTTTGTCAACTTCCATTCCTGACTCTGCAATCAAAAGATCAACAGTTTCTTTTCCAACATACTCAAGAACTTGCAGCCCCTTAGCAGTAAAAGCTCTTCCAGTCTGTTGAATTAATCAGTTAAACACAAAGAAACAATCACAAACATGAATTTTTAGTAGTAGCAGATACAAACAAGAAAGGGTTTGTGCTGACCTCTAAAAGAGATGGTGCAACAGAGCCTGCTGCAGGTATACCACCTTGCTGGATAGAATCTTCCAGTCTGAAGAACATAAACAATTATAAAGATTCATTGATTGCTTTCACAAAAGAAAAATAGATGCCAATAAGTTGACCTACTTCTGAACAAAACTGGAACCCCCTTTCCATGCATTACCAAGAGCCTGCCAAGCTCCTGAAGCAAAGTTCTCCACAGAACTGTCAATAGCCTTTATCCCCTGTAGGATAAAAAATCAAAGATTTAGAATAGAATCAAAGTAATCAAAACAAGTTAGTTATTCAATTATCATTTAGAACTTGCTTGGCCAAGGATTGTGTCTTCACTGGCTTTCTCAAGTCTTTCAAGAGCAGCCTTGCGCTTCTTATCATCTTCATCTTCACTTTCTTGATCTTTATCAGATGCTTCTTGATGATCTTGATCCTCTTTAGAAGATTCTGAGCCTTCAAGCTCGTTTTGCAACTCAGAGATGCTATTTGCAGCTGTCTTAGCAACCTCAGCAGCCTGTGAACAAAAAAAACAGTGATCAGAAGAAACTAAAAATGTTGCTTTTGAAAAATTATTTCCTAAAAAAGATATCAGACTAAAAGTAAGTTTGTTTTAGGTGCAAATTTGCAACAAAAGTTCATCCGAACACTACTAGGTTTGGAATCAAAGTTCAAAAATGCAACTCCTTCCACGAAACATTCAGAAGGGGTTTAATAATAAAACTTGATAACAGTCGTTAGGAAATCCAATGTTCGTGTTTGTTTTGTAAGAAAATCCTATCAGATACTTTGTATTTGTATTTGAGATGTAATGTATTTGACGTCAAAAATCGAAGTATCGATTCGTATTCATTTCTGTCGAGCAGGAGAGACTAATTACCAAGAAATTTAAGCATACTAATACAAAGACTTGCGATCATTGACTAAAAGAAAAACCTAGATCGGGCAAGAGTGAGTGAGAGTGAAAGTGAGGTAGTAAAACCCTAATTCCATAGGCAGCAAAGTATTTCAAAATGCGATACAAAAGGAATGGAACGAAATACAATTTCCAAAGAAATTAGCATTACATTGCGAGAGATCTCCTCAGCAGCCTTTTGAAGATCTGAAAGAACAGAAAACGCAGAGAATCCCCAGCCCCATCCACCGCCGGCGTTTTGGTCTTCTTTGGGCTGCTCCACCGCTGGTTTCTCTTCGACTGGCTCTATCTCATCCTTTGATGACGATTTTATGGTGGTGTTGGGTTCCATTTTTAGAAGTTTTGCGATTTGGGAATCTAGAAAAGTAATGGTTTTTGATGAAGCAAAGAGTTTGGTTGAATCGCGTGTTTGTTGGGTCTGGAATGAAACTAACGAAAGGCACTGCGGATCTGGAAGACTTCTACTTCACTACTCGTCTAATTCAACTTGCGTACGGTACGCTTTGTCCGCCTGTCTCTCCTTTCCAGATCTCTTTGTTTTACATGAAAATATAACAGTTAATTTTAGTTAAAAAGAAAATTGTGATTATATAAAACTATATTGGGAAATTCACAAAAATAACAAATATGTAGATCCTAGAAAATGATCCAATTTAGGCGTTTTCCAAAATGATAATTAGCACTCGGTCGTGGTGAGGCTAGGTAAGCAACAAAAAGCTTCTTAATCTCCGCCATTTTTATTTTGGTGGTGTTCCCTTAAGAAACGGAGTTGAGGTGAAGACAAAGTTGAGTAAGAAGGAGAGAAATAAAAGAGAAAATGGTGTTGCAGCTCATTGTCATGGCCACTAACGACCACATAACGGGAAGGGGGCGGTGTTCCCTCGGTGGTAACGTCGTTACCGGTTGGCATATTGACAAAAACGCCCACAATGTTGCCCACACCGGATATTCTTATGTCTGAAATGATATGTTGCAGACCATTGAAAATGTATATCGATGGGACGTAAAGTGTTCCGGACTTGGATATTTTGGGCTACTTTTATTAAAATACATTTTGAATGTGTTTTATCTGATATGATTCATTTTTGGACAAGATTTCAAAGTGTATAATTTTTTTCCCGAACTTGTATGCATTAAGGTTTTGAAAAATGTAAATTAAGCACCACCAATACACTTTATCTCTAAAAACGATTGTTGATAGAAATGAATTCATCAAACCGAATCCATTAAGAAAGTTTTTCAGTCCTCCATGTTTGTTGTTACAATCTAGAATAAACAAAACCTAGAACAACTACTCATATCGACAAAGATGATTTTAATTTGTTTGAGTTCTTACTTGTCGACGTCGGTTGCATGGTAAGATTCATTTTTAATAGAAGACTAGTTTGCAGTTTCAATTTGATTAAGGAATAATGACTTGAAAGTGTAACAGACTTTCATCTTTGTTCACATTTAGTCATTAAAATTTTTTCGTACTTGATTTACCCCTGAATTATTTGAAATTATTCACATTTTACCCTTATGACCAGTTACAACCGGTCATAAGGGTAAAATATGAATAATTTCAAATATTTTAAGGGTAAATCAAGCACAAAAAAGTTCAATAACTAAATATGAACAAAATTAAAAGTTCATTGCCCTTTCAAGTAATCATCCCATAAAGGCTAGTGGGTGTGGTGTCACACTTGTCACGATCCACGTAGGCGCCACATCACACTTGTCACATTTTTACCAAAACTTGTCATTTGGTAGCCATGGGTTGTCACACTTGTCATGCTACCTTTTTTTTTTTAAATATACAAAATAAATATTTCAAACATAGCATTTTTTAAAAACTAAAAATTCATTAAACTTAAAATAAAAACATAAAAATTCAAAAAAAACAACAAACACACCAAAAAAATAGAATTTAAAATTAAAAAACATACAAATAAAATTACCAAACCTAGATTGACCTAAAGAATATCTTCATCGGAAAATTGACCTTCCAAATCGTTGACCGGTTCCGTGTTAAGATCGATGTGGTTGACGTTTCAAATATATTCTATCAAGTCCCTTCGAAGAACATGATGCATCTCGACATCATGAACTAATGCCCTCCTCGACATGTACCCCGCGCTTCCAACCTCAAAAGCTTGTGTTGGTGGATCGATCTCGTTTTCATTATACTCACATCTTGCATTTCCTTCGTCTTCGAGAATCATATTATGCAATATGATACAAGTATACATCACCTCGCTCATTTTCTTCTCCTCCATATACGGCACGGGATAATTAAGAATATGTCAACGTTTTTTCAAAGCTCCAAATGCCCGTTCAACATCCTTTCCCGGTCGCTCTTGAGCTCTCTTAAACTTCAACCTTTTCCGATCATTTGGACAAGAACAATGACTTCACAAAACAATCACGCTCCGGATAGATCCCATCCACCAGATAATACCCGTTCCTATACGATGTTCCAACTACTTGAAAAGAGGAGTCGGGTGCAGTCCCGTTGTATATGTCGTCAAGTAACGGAGACATGTTAATAACATTGATGTCATTAAGGGAGCCAGTTGAGCCAAAGAATGCATGTAATATCCACATATCCCGTGAGGCCACCGCTTCAAGTATAACGGTTGGATAACCATGATCGCCTCGGGTGTATTGCCCTTTATGGACATTCGGACAAGAACCCCATGCCCAGTGGAGGCAATCTAGGCTTCCTAACATTCCAGGAAAGTCGTGCACGTTTGACTGATGAGCATACAATGTTAGATGTCACTACAAGTAGGTTTGCGCAGACATCGTGGACCATATAATCTCATGACATACTTGCAAAATTTGTGAAGGTTAGGTTGTGCAACACGTCCAAACATCCTAAGGTTCTCCTCTAGTGCATCGGGGCAAGTTGCATATGCTAATTGACGAAGTTCAGCGGTGCATTTTTGTATAGGAGTAAAACCAACTATATCTCTAGCATCTCGACGTTGTTGAAAAAATGGACAGTTGTCGTGACATCGTTGACTATACGCAAAAACTAAGATTTATGCATACGGAACCGGCGACGAAAATAATATCCTATAAAGTTGGTGTCATCCACAAAGTAATCTTGCATGAGTCGATCATTAGCCGCCTCACAAAATCTTTGTATGTATCTTCTCTTCTTCCAGCGTGCATTCTCCGCATTTTCTTCTTGTAGTTGCTCAATCATCTGCTCGCCTCCTGAATAACCTCTATAGTCGTTTCAAGCAAGGCATCAAACATGCCTGATGAAGACGACGAAGACGACATTTTAAGAGAGTGTATATGAGTTGTAAGTTGATGTTGATGAGTTAAAATGGTTTAAGGTTGTAGTATATATAAGAGGTTTTTTTTAAAAAAAAAAATAAAGAAAAAGAAAATTTTAATGGAAATAGTTGTTGCCAGCTACCCCACTTTCCCATTGGTCAACATAACTCGACAGATATTAACCGAGAAACCGAGTCGAGCTCGGCAAGCCGAGCGGTCGGCCCGGTGTTTGCCGAGCTAAGCCGAGTCCACGCCGTCTAACCTAAATAAATTCTTTTACCTTAATTTTGGGGTTGTTCTTTAAACTTTGGTGAATCTTGAGGAAGGAAGGAGTCCATTTTGGTGCACTGAAGCAAAGAACAAGTTTGGAGTAACCCACACTTAGGTGTTGTTTGTTTTTTCAGAGGCAAAATGTCTGCAGTCTGCGGATCACATCTGTAGACCTCTGCAGTAGAAGATGTGGACCAAACGTCTGCGGTTTGAAAAAAGAAGACTGTTTGTTTTTTTTAACATCTGCGGGCTACTAAAATAAACTGAAATCTAAATAAACTGATTTTTTTAAACTTCAAAGTGTTTTTTTAATATTTTTATGACTTTGTTATAAATAATTAACAAATCTATATCAACTTTTATGTATTATTGTATAAAAAATAAAACTAAAAATAAAAATGGTATGAATTAACGTATATATTTGATAAAAACCAACAACTTTGGTTGCAAAGTTATAACTAAACATTATAATTAAGGATCAAAGAATTTGATACATAAATGGATGGAAATAAACTTCGATTTTTTCAATTAAATCCATTAAAAACGTAGTATAAATATTTTCTCGAGAAATTGACGATAGTGTATTAAATAATGTTTTACAAAATTTAGCAAAAAAATATAAGAATATATTATGATTTTTTTCGTATTTATATAAACAACTTCAACGACTATTATTATAATAAATATTTATTTATAAATTTGTCAAAAATATCATGTTTGTATCGTCGAACGTTTTTTTTTTTGAAGTTTTGTAATTTTTTTTTTCAAATTGTTTATCATTAATAAAGTTGGAAAAATATAAATTAAAAAAAAACTTAAAAAAAAGATAGATATATGTGTTTTTTTAGGCTAGAAGATGTCTGAAGATGTTAGCAGACTCTGGTCCACATCTGCGCCAAGAAGATGGCGCGCAGACATTTTTAGGTCTGCAGTTTTCAAAAAAACAAACAGTCTGCGAAGACTAATGTCTGCGCGTGGTCTGCGCCGCGCAGACAAAAGAGGCCACGCAGATCTGCAGACAAAAAACAAACACCACCTTACATATAAAGTGCATAGAATTTATAACAAATCACTCCAAGAACTCAAAAAATCATAAAAAGGTGGCTATGGTTTCAAAGTGACTTTGTGGGAGGGTAAAGGTTGATCATAGAAGGATCCCAAGAAGTTAGAGCCTTAAAATAAGGCTACGCTCGGCCTAACCTAACCTACGCATAATGTATGTCATTAAACCCTCGTCCAATATTCTCTTTCCTACGCTCGATGTAAGGGACTATCCTACGCTCAACATAGGGCATAATTTCCCAAATCTAAACTTAAGCACAAAAAAATTTCAAAGAATAATACCTAAAGAATTCAGATGTTACAATAATTCACCAATTAAGTACAAGTGTTAATATTTATTAATGATAAAAATTACTCAAATAAATAATTAGTAGTAAATTGCTATAAGGTGTGACCATATATGATCATATGTCATTAGCAAATATCATTCTATATTGACTATTAGACATAAAGATCTTTCAAACTCTCTCGTCCTTATATCTCTTGTTATAGCTTGAAACAAATGTTTTGTATATAATGCGCACAAATAGTGTTGTAGTCTTGTTTTCACGACACTTCATTGTAAATAGCATAATAGTTTGTAATATACATAAAGTACATGAATTAATGTAACATCTGGTTGGATAAAGGATGTCTCATTATAACCTATAAAATTGTAATTATAAATAGAAGAATAAAACATGGAATGAAATAAACTAAAGAATGATTAAAAAAAACGGATAATGATTTGACATGGTAACAAACTTTTAATTTTGTTCACATTTAGTCATTGAACTTTTTTTTCGTTTTATTTGAAATTGTTCGCATTTTACCCTTATGACTGATTGTAACTGATCATAAGGGTAAAATGTGAACAATATAAATAATTTAGCGGTAAATCAAGCGCGAAAAGTAGTTTAGTGACTAAATGTGAACAAAGTTGAAAGTTCGTTACCCTCCAAGTCATTATCCCTTTGATTAATTGTTGGCATTGGTGGTCCAATAATTTAATTTACAGATTCAGATGTTTTGAAACTGTTTGTTGAAACATCCCCCGTATGAGATGTAATTATTTTGATTATCTTTTGAAAATATTTAAACTTATAAAATAATTGTTGCAGAAATTTCGTCCCAAATGATCAAAGTCATGATGTTTAAAGTAACTTGAAGATGTATTTTTGTAAACCACACAACGACTACAATCACTATAATTGTGGTTGGATATACAAAAGAAGGGAAGGACAAGAAGTTTGTTAGGGCTCTTCATCATTAACATTGGGGTTAACCACTAGCAACATTACCATCGATGTGTGCTTTACAGAATGAGGACATGGCTCTTTAGCATCGACATGTTCTTTACAAAATGGGGCCATGGGTCTTCAGCATTGGTGACAATGTGCGCGTCAATCATCTCCAATATCGTACTTTTCATCATCGTTTAAGGTACTGGTTTCATCTTCAATAAAAAACCAATTAGAAGAGTGATTTCAACACCGTTTGTGAGACGAAATCAAGGAGGAGAAAATATGGGGACTAGGATATCGGAGTTGGTTGCATCGGAGACGACGGCCATTAAGAAGGGGTTATAGGGTTAGGTTAGTATATTTATATAATGAATATTAATACAAATCAAAACTAATTAACAAAAAATCTAATCATGAGTAAAATAGTTACTTCATATCAAATTTGTAACAAAATGACAAAATGAAACCACAAGTACAAACCACACGAACCACACAAGAAATGAAACCATAAGTATCAACTAAACAAGAAATGAAACCATTGGGGCCATCCACATCAACAAAAAAGTTTGAGGACAAAAAATGCAAATGTGAGAAACTATAAGGACGATTTATGTAATTTTGTCTTTCTTTTAGGAGATTACCGAACAATTGTATGCCATAGAAACACAATTTTTTAGGTCTGGAAATCCTTGCTAACTCCCCAAATTCGATCTGTTTATCATATCACGAAACATGTCATGCTGATAAGATTCTACATATGTTGCTTCATTTTACCCAAGCAATTCACCTATAAAACCATAGCACGATGTTATTCCCAGAGTTTGGTACTTTGGTAGCATAGGTAAACAGTGTAATCAACTTTGTATAATATTTATTGAATAATCAAAACTAAACCCAACATCGACTTTATCTTTATATCTGTAAACTATAATATCAACTACACTTTACTAAATTATAATTTATATCTATAAAATCATCTTCATCGTGTCACATTCTGGATCTGTGACAAAAGAAAGGAATAACGTGGGTTCTATGTCCAGTAAACACAGATGACGCAATCTATATACTCCAATTCTAAGAATACAAACATAAATTTTTGTAATAAAATAACAGCAAGCTGTCTATTAGGATGATTCCAAAGATTCAGGTGAAAACATCCATGCACATCACTCAAATTCATCATCAACCAATGGCTGCTCTGGAATCTCCAAACCTCTCACTCACAAACAATGAAGAACCTCGATCACTCATGCCAGTTCTTCTTACTCCTCATAATGTTCCTCATCTGTACTCTCCACAGAGCCATAACCTTCGTCTCAACCAAACTCACCAAACCCACCACCACCCAACTCACAAACCAAACCCCAATCTCCTTACAAGTCAAAATCACACTTCCCACCAAAATCATCTTCGGAGACCATGAAACCATCACAGCATTCAACCCCTCCGATATCATTCAACTCCCCAAGAACAGGCTCGGCGAGGGCTCCATAGGCACACTTTACAAAGTCGTCCTCGACTCCGGCTCCATTATCACAATAAGAAAGATCTGTAAAAACGTCACCCATGGCGGCAATTTCGAGCACTGGGTTAAGTTTTTCGGCGGCCTTAGTGGCAACCGGTGGTTGTTGCCGCTCCGATTTGGTTTTTGGTACGGCGGGGAAGCTTTCGTTATTCATGACTACTTATGTTTAGGCAGCTTGGAGGAGCTCCTACATGGTAAGCAATCCCATAACCAAAAACTAGGGTTTCTAATTTTTTACCTTTAATCGATTTTAATTTCGCAGGAAGCGAAGGCGTTCAATTTACGCCGTTAAACTGGGAAATCAGACAGCAAATAGTGCTCGGAGCAGCGAAAGCAGTATCGTCGATTCACAGTCGAGGTCTTCTCTGCGGGGTGATAAAATCATCTAACTTTCTGATACAAAGCGACTTCTCACCTCGTCTTTCTAGCTATGAAACGCCGTATCTTATCTCTGCTTCCACGATTATCAGAAGAAACTGTGGACGAATGGCGCCTGAATTAACACGAACACGAAGTATCTCGAAGTCGTTTAGTCAAGCATCCGATGTTTACAGTTTTGGGATTTTGATGTTGGAGATAATTACAGGAAAGAAACCTTCGGTGACTAATTTAGGGCAATATGTAATGGAGAAAAAAAAGAGAGAAGGGTTGAAAGGTGTTCCCGATAGACGAATGTCTGGTGTTGAAGAAAATGTTTCCGCCTCCAGCATGATTATGATCGCGGAGGTGTGCCTTTTGTCTGACCCCAAACAACGCCCTTCCATGGGAACTGTAGTGGAGATGATTCAAGCAGCTATTCACTAGCTTTATAGCTAATAATATTATTATATGTATAATAACCAGAAAATTGTCAGAGATGAATGAAATGTGAAATGTAAAACTTTTCTCATTAGTTGTTTAATACAAGTTAGTCTACAAAGAGTTGTTTTCTACCAAAAAAAAAAAATAAGTGTTCTAATAACATCTAGTGTCCTCGGACCACTGGTGGTGGCTTGGTGGTTTGTTTTGGTGGTTGTGGGACAGGTGTTGGTGGCGGATGAACCTTTTGTGGTGGTGGTTTCATTTTATGTGGTGTTATTTTCCGATTTCCAGGTTCAACAACACTGTTTTGTGGTGTACTACAGCCTACATTTTTGCAATCAACTTGAGTGTCGATCATTTGAGAACAAATTTTTTCGGATTTTTGATGGGGTCTTTTAGGGAAGCAATTGTCTTTCTCCTTCATAGAAAGCAGCTTTTCATCCACAAGCTTATCACATTCTCCACTAATCTCGTGAAAGTAGTTCCTATAGATTCTAAAATCCAAAAGTGCAGGCATACTGCAAATACTTTTAGGAATCGTTCCGGTCAACCGGTTGTTTGAAAAGTCAAACCTCTCGACTCTTTTCAACGTGTGTAAAACTTTCGGAAGTTTCCCGATGAATTTGTTGTTACTCACATCAAACAATATCAACCCCTGAAGATTCACAATCTCTTCCGGTATACAACCAGTTAGAAGGTTATTGGAAAAAGAAACTTGTTCTAAACGTGGCATGTTTCCAAAGCTTTTAGGTATGCAACCTGTGAACTTATTGTTTGCAAGAACAAGCATGGAAACGAGTGAATTCCCGATGTTTTCTGGAATGGTGGAATGGAATCGGTTGTTGTTGATAACAATGGCATCGAGGCGTTTGTCAAATAATTCAGGAGGTAATTTGCCTTCGAATTCGTTATATCTTATATCAAGAAACCTCAAATGAGGCATGTCCAATACAACTTTAGGGAAAGGGCCCACGAAACGATTGTTACTGACATCGAATTCAAACAGGAGGTTGAGTTTTGAGAAGGTTTCAGGGATAATCCCACAGAATCTGTTGGAATTAATATGGAATACACCGAGGTCGCTTAATAATGCAATATGAGGAGCAAGCTGTCCAGCAATGTCTCCATAGTTGAGATCAATAAGAGCAACTGTTAGAATGTTTGGATCATCTAAAGCATGAGCGCAAAACACCCCTTCGTATGAACACACATTTGGGCCTACCCAGTTTCCTGTGAGGTTTTGTGGATCTGAGTAGATTGCTTTCTTCCATTCTTGTAAGGCGCAATAAGCTTTCATAAGCCTAGGGTTTTCGAAATGTAAACTGGGATCGACCTTTAATTTGAAATCTTCTAGTTGAAGGTCGGTTTGTTTTAAAGCTGTGAGGTGTTGACTGTTTGATGAAAGGGAGGGTTGTTTTAAAGTTGTGAGGTGTAGACCGGTTGATGCAAGGGAGGATGAAGATACGTAGAAGATGAAAAGCAGGCCACCGATGAAGAAGAAGGTTTGCATTTTGAAAGGGTTTAGGAGAATTGTGTATAGGATTAGGAGCTTCCATAAGAAGGGTGGTATACGAGGCTGTGAATTGGGAGGATGGCGTTGGATGTTGTTGTTGAATGGCGAATGGTGAATCTATCTTTACCACCATTTATCTCTCCACACCACAGATCTAAAGGGAAATCGCTACAATCTCTCGTTCATTTAATGAAATAAAATCTAAGAGTATTTTTCCCAAATTGGATGGACAACGCTAAATATTTAATCGAGCTTAATTAAAACATATCTACATTCAAAAGCAAAATCATAAGAAACGAAGTAAATCGAATTTGCAGAAATTAATCGGTTTCTGATCAGGAACAGAGGAATACCAGGCGGGGAACGTGAATTTGGAGCGAAGCAATCGAGTGAAGGAGGAGTCCGGTATTCTCTCCTCGCTGTTTCAGTTGATGCTACTTTATTTGAATTTGAATTAGTTGATTTCGATTGTTGATGCGGTTGGTTTCGTGTATTGTGAAATTAGGAGATTCCATGTGAGGATCCTATCAGCGATAGGAGTCCTCCTGATTCTGGTATCAGTTTATCAACTTCTTCCTTTGGCGCTTCTGTTCAAAACCAGAAGATAGAACTTAGAACAACACAACTACACAACCTTAGATTCGATGGAAACAAAGTGTTGATGTAAGTACATAAACTTACTTTCAGTTCTTTCAGCTCGAGATTGGTTCTCCAGCAGCTGTTGTAGGATGAATCTCTTTTTAGTGTTAGAACAGTAATCTGATAATCAACAAGATAAACCGGCCAAACGGTGTGGGTTTGGGATGCCGGCGGCAAATACTGCGCGGGATGTTCAAATCTCTGCCCATTAGAATTTGAAATTTAATGTATTTTTTTTTTACATTACCATTATATTTATACAGGGATCTTTCATCATTTTACCATTCAAGATGTCTTCACACAGCTCCACAAACAACCCAAGTGCTTCTAAGCCTTCAAAAAGAATCAAAATTTCTTCGTAGTCAAGCTCACAACAAATGTCATCAAATGTTTACATCGGTGTCAACCTTAATGATGACAATGAAGTAATACAACCGCCTCCTCGTCTCATGGGAAGGGACAAAACGAAAAGAAAAGGAAAAACAACATCTTCAAATTTGTCGACAGGCACCAGACGGTCAAACCGATTCGATGAAATAGTGTCGCAAATGGCACAATTAAATGCAACTTTGGAGAAGTATATGGTTGAAACCATCGAACTCACGGAAATGACATTGTTAATGCAAGATGTGGCTAGCCTTAACGCCGAAGATCGAGCAGTGGCTTTGGCCATCAAAGCAACAATTAGGGCTAAATATAATTTGTAGATTTTTAATTTACAAATTTATGTCTTTTTAAGTTTTTATTTATATAATTTTTATTTCATGTTATTTTCTATTTTTGGTTTTTGTTTATGTAATTTTCAATGTTGTGGTTAATGAAAATTATAAATTTTGTTTTACTTAATATTTATGTTATATATATATATATATATATATATATATATATATATATATATATATATGCGGTGCAGTTTGACCCAAATTTTTATTACTATAAACCACAAACTGCACCGCATAGTGCGGTTTACGAAAATTACAAACCGCAACGTGAAAGTCTAAAACCGTAATGTGCGGTGCGGTGTGAGCAGTTTTTGCAGTTTATGCGGTTTGATGCACACCCCTACATGCAAGTCTAAAAATAAATCATAAACAAACACACACTAACTTGGGACACGTCGACTACTGTCGATCCCCCTTGCTTAATACGTCGAGCCCTCCTATATTGCTAAGTACATCGAACCAATATCATACACGTATTCCTCAGTACCTTGAGCGAATATCGTATGCATATTTCTCAATATGTCAAACCAATATCGTACACCTACTAGACAATAACATAGTCTAGTAATACCCACATACTTCACAAGATTTAAAGTAAAGGACGTATAACATCAATATTATGTAGTGAGGAACTCACCTCAAAACGCAGCGTAGACTCCAAGTGATACCCCATAAATCCAACAAGATCGGTACATGTCACATCCCTCCTATAAATAGCATTTAAGAATGTAAATAGCTAACCCTTAGCCCTCGTTAAGTATTTAAGTTATTAGGCTTATTTTCCGAGAATATTACCCAAAACAACAGTCTATTCAAGACCATTTTAGCCCCTCTAAAACCCCTCAATACTGCGATATTATTTCATATTCATAACTTTAGTCTTTTACCTTTCCAGGGACTATTTACACAAGTCCATATGATTTTTCTACTATTTGTTATGAATTTTTGAAGACATCATGACATAGCAACACAAATCGGACCAATCATTAAAAATTACACTTTTCACCCTCAATAGAGCCATTTCCATGCTTAGGTCAAAAATAATGAAATATATTAGACTCAATTTCTAAACTTTGGTAATCGGTTTCAGGTTCAAACGAATTTTAGTTATGATTTTTACAAAAACATGACAAAATAATGGCTTTCCACATGAAATCTTAACTTAGCATTTGGGTTAATTTAGCATCTTAACCCATTATGTCCTTAGTAAAACGACCTCAAAGCTGGAGAATAAGGACTTAACAACAGTTATGAGGTGTGATAACATAATAGTCATTTGGCGGTCAAACCACAACTCAAAGTACAATGCACAAAAGAGAACAGTAATGCACTTTTACTTATGAAGTAATAAATGGGTTAAGGAGATTTCGAAAATCACAACCCTAACTCTATTGTTTCACTATTTTTATGACCTGCAGATTCTGAGCTCAAAAATCAAGTTTTCCTCCGTCTTGCCTCTCTTTTTCATGCTAGGAATTAAAAGGGTGATTATACTTGATCCCTTCTTCCTCTTTTTCTTCGCTTTCCCGCATTTCCCCCCCTCCCCACCCCTCTGCGGTCTCTTCCTTGATTGGCATACACTCACAAATGGGACGAAGATCTGTAAGTAGCAGTCACATTCACCAGAGTTCTAAAAATTTCACTTTAGGTCCCTCAAGTTTTCCATAATGACATTTTGGTCCCAATCACCAAGATCTTCACATTATAAGCTTTCAAAATCCCCCTTTAGTCCCTCTAAGACTATTTTGTTTCTTTTAAGGTCACTCATTTACTTTTATTTATCTAGCATATACTTATTTTATTACTTTAAATAATATATAAATCTCTTTTATATTTTACATAACTCCATTTATTTATTTATTTTACTTATTTATCCATTATATGTTGATTAAAACCTATGATTGCCCTTTATTATTTTACTACCGATATTATTATCATTTTAAATAGAAAATGGAAAGGGTTAAAATTTTGAGAAAGTGACTATGATAAACATTTTCTAAAACTTTTTACCATTAATTAGCCCCAAAAAATGAAAAATGACTCAAATAACCATAATCTTCGCAGATAACCATCTACGAAAATGTTGGTCTTAATTTTTTTCTTTTTTGCCAAAATGATGTTTTGAACATGGTGACTATGAAAATGTCTCAATTGACTGTGGAAAATGACGTCATCTTTGATTTTGTTTTTTTTTTTAAAATCATATATTTGCTTGTCAATTTGACTGCGAAAATACTTACATTTTAGCGGATGTTACCTTATAAGAGATTGTTTTGTAAAAACAAATTATCAAACCAATTGTTTGATTTTTGGAGCAAAATTTTCACTGCGTTTTTTGTTTTGATTTCCCTATCAATTTTTTCAACCTACCCTTTTTGTTAATGTTGAGATTTGAACTTAATTCAAACCATTGTTTTGATTTCCCTATCAATTTTTTCAACCTACCCTTTTTGTTAATGTTGAGATTTGAACTTAATTCAAACCATTCTGAGTATTTTATTGTTGTTTGTGTTGGTGGTTCATGTCAATCATAAAATGAGGAATTGATATACATTAAACCATCAATTAGGAACTTTGGTGTTGAAATTTTTGTAGATACAAATTTTCCAAATTTATACAAATTGATCGAAGAGATTGCATGTCTATCACAACAAACCTTCAAACTCAACTTTTTGAGGTTTCCTAATATCATATTAAAATCGAAATGAAGGAATATGATCATGAAATAAATCACAAAAGACAAGTGGAAGAGATGTCATAATTTTTTTTTTCAAATTTAAATTATATTTGGAAGTTAACAAAAAACACAGATAACTAAAATATCGACATGCCTTTGCCACACAGATACCATGCCAATACAATTTTAATATGGCTAGCCGATAACCCGGGACCCTATATACTTTTGTAACTATTTAACAAAAAAGAAATGACTTAACGTGAAACATATAAAACAACATATAGATATTCTATCATCTTTAAACCCTTTATGAAGAAGATATTCTTGAGACTTTTATGAAGTATGAAGTTGTCGCTTTTATATAAACACAAAAGAAGTTTAGGACATATAGAGAGTTCTATAATATGTAAAGTCAACATTGCATTTTAAATGGTAGAAAATGATTTTAGAGACATCCATGGAAGAATATTCAATTTCAAAACGACTCCGAAAGCTAGTGAAGCAACAGACATAATTACAAAACTGAGCTCAAAAAGGTACTTTCAAACCATAATAGATAGGTTGTATAATATCTACTCTTCAAAGACTATGCACACACTACTAACTTAACACCTTTTGTACAGTTATAGCCAAATCAGAGAAAAATAAACATCAACCAACATATCCAAAACTCAAAAGGCAAAAACCGAGAAAAATTCAGTGGAATCATGGAATAATCTACACTCATGTTGCTTCCTTCTTATGAACATCTGTTACGATATCATGCAGCTCTGGGAAAACCGTTATGATCACAAGTTCGAGTAATCCATACGCAAGTTGCTTCAAACAGACAGCAGACTGCAGTACCAAAGGGTATTTTAGACATTTCACATTTAACAATCAAAACACAATCGAAAGGGTATTTGTTTTACCTGGAGAAAATAATACACGTCTTTCGCACAACGCTTGTATTGGTTATGACCGATCAAGCTCACCAATGTGGAAGGCGCTCCGTCTGAAAAAGAAGAAAAGGGTATTTTAGACATTTGACAAACAAACGTTTTTATCAAGAGAAAAAAAAAAAAGATGAACTCTTTCTTACTAAAAATCATCTTTTTGACATCACTAGCCCTTCGGGCAGCCTCCAGTTGCTCCTCAAACGACCCTTGTTTATAGACCTTACTGCCCGATGAATGAGTTGCTGTTTTTGGAGTATCTTGATCAGAATGATAAGAACCCGTTTGATTTTGAGTAGTTAATCTTGTAAAAAATATGCCTTCAGGCCATAAAACCTAACAAAAAAAAATCCATTATTGTTATTATTAATATCATTAATATTATTTTGTTAAAAAAAAAAAAGAATTACATCTTGTATCCAACGTATCCCATGAGCAACAATGTCGTCTCTTCTAAGCCAATGTATTTGCCTTAAAAGCCAATCATCAATAGCATCTTCCATCATCAACTGTAAAATTTGCTTTGATATCCAAAACACCTGTCGTCTGCATAAAAACAAACCCTTACATTTAACATATGTGGCTAAATTAAAGAGGATTCATGTATCATGTATGTTACCATGGTTAACTAACCTTAACCACCCTCTTCGATTAAGTTGAAATATATTGTCCACTAAATTTAGCAAAGGAACACTCACATTAGGTGGTGTCCACTGCAATAAAACATACAAGAATAAAACATTTACACAAATAAAAAATGTCAAGGGATATAAATTAAAAAGATTATAATATAAATAGAAAAAGAACCTCTGCTGGGACACCGAGTGGATCTTCCATGGAATCAGAAGTTGAAGGAAAATTTGCAGCAAGATTGAGTATTTCAGCTCTTTTCTCATGATCTAAGCTTCTTAAAAGATCATCATGTTTGACAACTCTTGGTGGGAATCCTTTTGAGTTTAACTCGTTGTCTGAATGCCACCCGTTAGGTTGTGCAGTGGGAATGGAATCAACGACTCCATTCTCCTCGTTATCGGAAAGACTATTTGCTGATTCCGATGTTGCTTGCCTTGTGTAGGAGTAGGAATTACTGAGTTCATCTGCTTTCCATGTTAAACTTTTGCTCATGGGCTCAACAGTGAAAGATGGGCCCACAACTTTCCTAATCAAACCATCTGAAACACCTTTAAACTGACGGACAATATCATCCACAGCATCATCCACATTCACTGTAAGAGAAATATAAATAAATAAGGGCAAATCTGTCAAAACATTATAAACATGTGAAAACAAAAGGACACACCTGCTAAGGTTCTCATTACTGAAGAAGACTTTCCAAAAGAGTAATTCTGCAGTGATGAGTGATGACATAAAATAATAAGTTTATAAGTTAAATTGTAGAAAATCTAAAGAGAAAGAGAGATAGTTACATACCCTTGATGAGATACTCAAAAAGTCCCACACTTCATGTTGCTCTGCAACATTAGCTATTGATAAAAGTTCCTATACATAACAAAATCCATTCAATACCTTTATGCATGACAAACATAGTATAAGAAGTAAGAGCCATACTTGTAAATATTTGTCAAGATGAATGCAACGTTGATGAACAAATGCATCTTCTGTACTTGAAGAAAATATCCTTTTAGGAGGCAAATGTAAAGTATAGTTTGGAATGTCCTTTAGCTGGCGATGCAATCTCTCAAAATTCCTGTATCTGCTCGCAAAAAAAAATACAAATAATTTATCTCCAGAAACCATAAAAGATTGTGTATTTATTTAAAAATTCAAGAACAAGACCTTCTTTTAACAAACCAAGTGTTGTTTTCAGCATCCGTAACTGCAATTGAATAAACTGCAAAAGATTTTGACCCAAGTTTCTCAAAATAAGCTCCTAGAACCTGTAGCATATACATATTTATACACAGTTACAGTCAAAATCAAAGTCAAAGTCAAAGTCAATCAGCAAAAGAGAATGGTCTTACTCTTACCCTGCACTTAAGCTTTGGGACACATCCTTCAATGCGTAATACTTTATCAGAAGCAACATTAACACTATGTACATCTTTTTTGCCAACATTTGCAGTATAAAACTCTGAGATAATCGACCCACTGACTTGATCCGGATACCCGGTTTCAATCTGGGTTTCCTTGATCAAATCAGATGTGCTGTTAGATTTCCTAAACTTAATTATACTAGAACTCTCTTCAGCTCCCCCATCAAGACTCAAAGTATTCCTCTGATCAACATCATGAGGCCTTGGTGGAAACTTTTCAGAACTCGAACTCTCAAGCTTATCTTTCTTGATATTACTATTTTGCCCTCGAGTAGCATGCTTCTGAGCTTTCTTCTTGTAGTTTCTTCCTTTTGTCCACATATTTTCAAGATTCTCAGGCTGAAGAACCTCTGTCCTTCTTTGGGTTGCAGCCTCAAGAACCCGAGCCCAATCAGCAGCTGGTAAACTCTTTGTTTTTTCTTGATTTAAATCAGTATCGATTTTGCGAGATGCATCGAAGGGATGTTCTATATTTGCATCATGTTTAGCTATTGTCATGTCATTCTTTTGACTATTAGAAAGATCGGAACTTTTTGTGCTTGTGGATTGATCTTGTTTATGATCTTTAACATTTGGTGATTGATCTTCACCTCCATTGTTAGTGGAGGTTAAGAAAATAAGCTCCAGCAAACTCATTGATGTATCCAGGGCTTGCAAATCTCATTACAGGTTCCATAACCAAACATGTTAAAAGCTCTCTACAAATGCATCGAACTAAAGGGGATTGAGCTTCCCGTGGTTTTAGCACTACAGCTAAGACAGCCCCCATAATCCGCTTCAAAAACTACAAAAAATTAAGAAGCATCAGATACTGTCAGCATGACATGACAGAACAGGTTGTACTGTGTTTGACATGCATTGGACTGTGGGACTGATCACTGATGCCAATGGGACAAAATTATCCAAAAAGGTGAAAATTTACTTTTTGTCCCATTCATTCAATGCACACGAAACATAGTACAGCATGTTTTGTTCTTTGCAACAAAAGGAGCCTTAAATCTTAATGATCATAGAAATTATTTTACATCAAAACACTCCACTCACACCTTGTACTCACTCTCGGGAGATAATAGAGCAGGATGAAGCTCTTTAGAAGCCATGAGATGATGTTTCAACCTTTCATCTCTTTCTTCTGAAGACAATGTTACCATAACCTCTACTCCAATTGCAGCTTGGTTTTTTCTAAAAAAGCTCTAGGTGGACCCCAACTAGATCAACCACATCCCTAAAACAAACAGAAATAACCAGAATCAGATAATCAGTTGCTGATAACCAGTATAAACAAGTCCTATATTCTAGACATACCCACCTCGTTAACAAGTCAACAAGATTTGTGTTCTTGACTCTTGCAGATATTTCTGCAAGAACATCCATAATAATTGCCCGAATCAGCTCAGGTGCTTCCTTGTCTTGTGTAATATCTGAATACCATAGATCAACAACAAAATCTTGCAAAAGCTTGTTAATGAAATCCTCCATGGCAGCCTCCACCATTGGAGAATCGACTTTCCTCTTCCATTTAGGCGGGGGAGGCAAGGTGGAAAGCCGTGAATCGTTCACAGATAATTGCTTCTTTTCTAAGTGCGATAAGTATGTTAGTGGCCGGTTTTTTCTGGTCTTCCAACGGAATTCAACTTCGTTTAACAAAATTCGTGAACCCGATACCATGAGTATTGCTATAGGAACATTCATCCACATTGATTTACTTGTGTCTGTAAGAATACAACAAAAACCCATAAAGAATATGCAAACAACGATCAAATCAATATACACACACCCAACCCATCAGAAAGCAAAGAACTTACGTGCTAAGAAGTAAGAGACAGCGAAGATACAAAGAGCCCACCACACAGTACGAAGCTTTGCTTCTTCGATCAGATCCTGTAAAGTCTCCATGGCCTTCATTGACTCTAAACCCTAGTTCTGGGCTGCTAAATCAAGCATCAAACGGAATGAACTAGAGTCGATTATGATGAATCAGAATCTGTCTTGAGCTCAAACAAGGGTAAGCACGATAGATTCGATTCGAGGTGTGATTGAACTGCTAATCTCTAAATAAAAGATGGAATTTAGGATCAAGGAAACAAGAAGTTGCGTTTGCCTTTTGGTTTGGTATTAGGAGAGCGCGGAGAAGAGGTGAAATCGTCTTCAGTGGTTTGATAAACAGAACATGGTATGGGGAGCTGTACTAATTAATAGAATAATAACTATATGATCGCCTGGTTGTCTTGTTTGATCGACTCCGTTATCTTTGAGCAGGCTGACCTGGGATTTTGATGTTCCTAATTTTTCTGATGTTGAACCACTTGCCAAAGATATAGAATGAGGAATCTACACGAATTAGAATCTCAATCTTTTGAGAAAAAATTGTTTGATTGGTTATAAAAAGAACTTAGAATGTTAATTAATAAATTATGATAGAGATAAAATAACTATTTTTTATTGCTTTTTTTATATAGATATACAAGAGTTATTCGCAAAGGTTGGATCATATATTTAGGTAACCATTCGAAATTTACTCTTTACACAACTACTTTTATGTAATAGGTTACATACAAGGCTCACAAAAGTTATGGTTAATGGTTCATGGTATTCATATTTAGGTAATCATTATGTTTATAAATGATGTCTTTTGATATTGCATATATTATGGATTATATCTAAGTAAGTTGATAAATGGTCTTCGGTTTTGTATTGTTTCGTTGAATCGATAATAACCTAGCTCACTTGTTTTTTTAGAACAACTTACACATGCACTTACTATTCTATTCCTAAATCTGCACATTTAGTCCACGACGAGACTTAAACCTCAACATTTGGTTGATGGACGAATATTCGTAAACTTCTGATACCGCTAGACCAAAATCCATTTGGTCTCGCTTGTTTTGTATTGTTTTAATGTAGTTGTAAAGAAGACAACCAATCAACTTAAAAGACCCCAACATGCAGGCAATTATTGGTAATTTTAGTGATTAACTCGCTATAAATCTGTTTTGTTTTGTGAGAAGGCAAACAATCAACTTATGATAATTAATTTACATGTATTTTTCATGTTGGTTAGCATGTATAAAAGGCCCATATGTCATGCATATGATCTTTAATGAGCATACATTTGTCTCTTAATACGAAACCAAGTGAACAACTACAGAAACATGTGTAGAAATTTTTCTTATGTTTTCGGTATTTAATATGTCACAATTTGTTCTCTAGTAAGTATGATACCATCTCTAGTTAGGCTATGTTTTTTATAACATATTTTGTTTGGTTTGTTGGATTTTTGAAGTAACAATTGTAATGTAATCAATATAATGTACTATAAATATTTTATCAGTTGTTCTTTATTATTATTAATGAATGTAATGTCCTAGTTTAAATAAATAAGTTATGAGTATTGTATATAAGTATGTATGTATATGTGGGATAATTATGAAGCATAATGTGCTATTAAGAACATAATTGTTAAGAATGACATTTTGGTCATTTAATAGGATTCGTAAGTTAAATTTTTTGTTGAAAATATAAAATTATGTCTTTATGTTTAAAGATGATGATATAAAAGTTAAAGAGGAGGAGAAAGGATCAATAGTTATGACTAAAAGGGTAGAGAGGGGTAAAAAAGGAATAAAAAAGAACAGATTCTGAAGTCTCAGAAACCACGATGTGGTGTTCTGGAACCACGACGTGGTGGAGGTGGTGCAACGACGCAGGAAGCGATGATTTAATTGACGTAAAAACGAGGGCAATATACTTTGGAAAGAACCACAACGTTGCAGAATATACCACGGCGTGGTGAAAGTAGGGTGTTAAAGATTTTAGTGATGAAAATCTTTTGTGATGGGTGGAAAGTGTCACGATAACCCTTAAAACATGACGAAAGACTTATCCCGTCACCACGACGTGCTCATGATACCACCACGACATGCCGTATGTATCAAAAAGAAAATAAAAGATGGAAACTCATCCTTTAAGCTCAAATCACACCACAACAGTACATAGCCGATACTTAGCGATATTTTAGCTATTTCTTAACTAGAGTGTCTAATCTTGAGGAAGGATCGAAGGGATTAACAACCATGCTTCAAATTTGTATGTAGATTAAATGTAAGGGGTTCAATCTCTTGAAATCCTCCTAAAATTATATGAAATTTGATTGGGGCTAAGAACCCTAATCCAAAATTAGTTGTGAAATGTGTGAAATTAAAGTCTAAACATGTCACTAAGGATGTATCTACTTTAATTATATGTGTGTGAATGGATTAACATAACTTAATCTTTGAATTGGGGATTTTTCCCTATGAACCCTAATTGTGAATAGTTAAGGTTTAGATGTATGATGTTTATTGAAGTAAGAATGAGTATACAAAGAGTGTTATTGTATGATTACTATGATCGAATTCATGAATTAAAAGTTGATTGCTATAAACTGGATGGTGAAAAATGATGAATTGAATATATTAAGCATATAGCTTAATGAACTAGAGTTTGATAACAATTAATTGTTAGAATTAATGTAAATTTGTTTGTTGGAATTATGAAATATATATTTTTAATTGAATTGAACCACTTGGTATGAATGAGAGTGGTATATATCTAAATGACATAAGAGTGTATGAATGATTTGATTCTTGTAACAGCCCCGAGAGTTAAAGTTGAGGATAAAGATTCAGGTGTTGGGATATCAAGCAATCAACAACAGGTGATAAGGTGAGTAAAACTTGTTTTACTTACAAACTTGAATTTATGTATTTAACATATTGTGTTATTATGTACATATTGTTATATATGTTGTGATAAAAGGTTGAATTAGCAAATCTTGATGATGGAATGTTAAAGTTATAAGTGGATGGAAATTGGGATAGTCTTAGTGACTGTAATATCCTAGATGTGAAATTGTTATCGTGGTAGTCTTGGTAATCAAAATACCACAAAGTGAGAATGAATTGAATTGGTAGTCTTTGTGACGATAATACCAATGAAAAGGGTAATAGTATTAGTCTTGGTGATGATAATACTATTGTTAAAAGATGTAAGGAATACTTAAGAAATGTGAAAATTTATATTTTTATTATGAAATGATTTTGATAGTTATGTTTCAAGTTTATGAAAAATGGTTTTGTTCGCTAAGCATATATCTTATTATAGATGTTATTCATGTGTTTTACAGGAACTAAAGGGGTTTATAATCAAAGTCTTTTGGAGGCGAGGAAGTGGTAGAAGTCACTTTTATGTATATAAAATATATAGTTTAGTATTTGTAACAACCCAATGTGATCATTGGGATATCTTTTGTATACTTATTAGAGTTGAAACTTAATGTTTAATATGTATGAAACCTTTGTTGTATAATATTTTATATAAAGGAAAACAAATTGGGTGTAAATTTATGCTTAAAATTTTGGGTGTTACAGTGAAAATTATAAACTTCTGAATAATCATCTTATGGCAAAACCATAAGAAGTATTTTAACAAACAAAACAAATATTGCACCAAAGAGTTATGATAACAACTAACGTTGTTGTTACAACAACCTTAAGTAATATAACATTGGTATACTCTATTTTTCATACTTCAAGCTAATGTTTTCGTTCTGCTTTTTCAACCATAATTGCATTTCCTTAAGTTCCCTTAGTTCCAACATTTGATCCTCAATCTTCATATTATCGTTTATTTTGCTCTTTAACTCGAATTGCGTTTTCTTTTGTTCTAGTTGTGTATACTTCATATTGTTGTGTATTTAAGTAGCAGATCTTTATAACGTTGTATGTTTAGTTCCTCAACAATCCATTTGAAATATTTATAATATTTCCTCTCATATTGTAACAATACAACAAACCTATAAGCCCATTGCACTTCACTTTATACAAGGATATTAGTTACATACCTTGAAATTAAGACATTCATAAAAACCTTGTACCTGAGTTCAAGGAAATCCATGATCTAAACAATTGAGCTTTCCCATCACAATAACCCATTTGGATTCATTTCGTATGAACCCCCTTCCCATTCCCACAGAAGCTTTATAGAGAATATAATGAAGCTTTTGAGAAGAATCAAGAAGTTGGTCATGCTCGTATTATATTAAAGTGGAAAAACAACCATCTTAACGATTTGTGGACATGACTTCTCAAAGGTCACTACTTAATGAGATTTTAGGATATCACACTCACTAATTGATAATGATATATGCATGTTATTTATGGAATTATTATTTCCCATGCAACTATTGATGTGCAACACGGAACATTCATGATTCTCGAGAATCATGTTTAATAGATGCAACGTTTCCCATGAAACTATTAACATTTATGGAAGTGAAATTTCCCATGCAACTACTAAAGTTTAATGTCAAAAGTTCGCAATGTACACGAAATTGATTAGATAGATGGAGAGTGTCCCATACAAAGTGTCTCATTATATCTCGTTCTTAACATACAATGTGAATAATCGGTGATAGATTAGTGATGCCAATTGTTTGTGTATATATAAACTTAATAAGGATATGGGTTTGAAATCTAACTTACTTGAGAATTTTAGTCTGTATTAAGACCAGAAACGATGGTGCGTACGCTAAAAACTATTAGCAACTACGAACGGTGGAATATGTCAAAAGAAAACACCTTCAGGCCGCCTTCTCCTATTATGATTTCTCGTAATTCCTCTTCGTCAAGTACATTTACTCCTTCATGCCTAATTTATGATTCAAACAAGATTAATCTACTACCGCTTCTATTCTTTAAATCCTAACCCTAATAGATATTTGAAATGATCCAAATTGAAACCATAGTTCTCAAAATAACCATTTTGCATCATCTACTGTTAGAGTCAGTGCACACACAAAAAAGTACCTCCTTCAGACGAGACAGGTACCTCTTTCTCACAAAATAGAGAATGCAATGAAACACATATCAATGAATAAATATTTGGTTTTAAAACTTGTGTTATTTGTTGGTGGATGCAAACATTATTATTAAATGTGAACTAGTTGTTGACGGATGTCTAGGGTTAAGAAAATTTGTCATAAAATTTTTTCACAAGTTATTCATTTAGATGTTATGATCCTCAAATTTTTTTGGGTTGATAAAACTTTAAGGGGTCACAACATCCAAATGAACAATTACCGTAAAGAAGAGAGAAGACAGCGGTGCGGGAAAGGAGGCTAAGACTAAGAATATAATTGTGTTGTGTTTATCGCAAATGACGTCCAATTTCACTATTCCTTACTGATACACATTTATGTATGCATCGTTTTAAGCTTCATGGGAAACGTCCAAAACATAAATACTCGCAAAGATATTTGTTCATGAACGATAAATTTTGAATATTTAATACATGTGATACAAATTTAAAG